CAGTCCTCATAAAATCTCTAACAGAAAAATAAACTGAGGCACCTAGTCAGGCTCTTCGGGGTAATTTGTATGTTCCTCTGGCCTTTCGTAAGGGTGTGCTAGCTTTATGCCACGATAATAAAACTGCCGGTCATCCTGGAATCAAGAAGGCCAGTATTCTCCTTGCTTCTCAGTTTCGGTGGCCTTCTTTTGCACAGGATATAAAAAATACATACAGACATGTACTGTATGTACACAATCTAAGATGCCTCATGTTCTACCTTGCCATTTATTACAGCATTTGGTCATACCCCAAAAACCCGGGTCCAGTTTATTAATCGATGGGCTTTGGAAAAGACTGATTGCCAGCCTCCTGCCCTGTGGCTATGGCCCCGTGTTGAAATGCTTGATTTTCCCCTGCAAAGACCCGAAAGCCGGGTCATTCGGTACTTGCCCTATGTGAGCAGTGTTACCCCAGATAGCTATGCCATGGAGCCCATTCGTATAACGAAAGACTATGTGAAAGACTTTGGCTCCATGGCAATTGAACTGAATGTATGTGATCTGAGCGCCATTCAGTAATAATGTACGCTCAGATCTAAGCTGTCTGGGGATATGTTGAATGTATCTGTTTTATGCAATAGCTGCACAGTTATATATTTTTATGTATTTTATTGTCTTTTGCTACCATGTGTTCAATGGAGTTTTGCCTTTGTCCTTGGAGATAATTGGATTACTTCCTAATTATCTCCAGGATAGAAGACTCTGTGGAACTAGTTTTGGGCAGAAAAGCCATGCTTCATTTGGTTACAAAGGACGTTGATCTAACTTTTGACCCACTGGACCAATTTTTATGATTTTGACGTTGGTATGTTGGTATTTGGAGTATGCTGATTCTGAAAATGTAATGTTTTATGTGAATGTGATGTATACTTTTGGAGTTATGAATATTGTGCAAAACTGTGTATTTCTCTGCCTGTGATAATTACATTAACCCATTGTGTAAGATAATTGTATCACAGGCAGAGGGGAGGATTTGGTGTGGGAGTGTCTGTGTGTATTGTACGTATTGATTGGTTGTTCTGCAAAACCCTGTGGGCAGTACTATGTTTGTAGAATGGGCATAAAAGCAGAGTGTTTTATTAAAAGCTTAAGTTCTACTTCACCCTCAATTTGGAGTGCCGTCTCTTATTGGGGGAATCTGCTACAAGGGATTGCTATGCTTGTCATACTCCCTTGCTAAATCACTACTAAGCTCTTGTAAGAGCTTGTTCCTGCCTTGCTCTCTGGAGGAGACTATGGTGGTTGTGGTGTCTGCTGGAGTGCTTGGAGCCCTCAGGAAGCGCTAGGAGCATCCTTCAACGGAGATACCAAGTTGGGGTGCCCGTCGATCCTCTACCTAAATCTGAGGGCCATACCTTTATCTTAACTGTTTCCAACAGGTTTACTAAAATGGAAGTTTGCCGATAGGTGTCAGCAGGCAGCCCCTTCATACCAAGTGAGTGATAGAGTATGGTTAAGCGCCAAGGACATCAATATGAAAGTACCTTCCAAATGGTTCGTACCCTGTTACATATGCCCCTACTGGATACTAAGGTGTGTAAACCCTGTTCTGTACATGTTACAATTGCCCCCTGCATTGCATATCCCAATACCTTTCATGTTTCACTGTTAAAGCCTCTTGTAACAAATATACCAGAACCCTTATCTCTCATTCCCCTGTTGAGGTGGAATGGCAGGAGGAATATGAGGTTCAGTCTATTGTGGATTCCCAAATCTCCAGGGGTGTACTTCAATACTTGGTTCATTGGAAGAGATATGGTCCTGAGTAACCATCCTGGGTGGCAGTGGATGATGTCCATGTTCCCTGTTTGCTCCAGGCTTTCCATTACCGCTTCCCTGATCAAGCTGATGGTTCCTTCCCGGTGGATGGTTCTAGGAGGGGGGTACTGTCAGCATCTTTGTACTTACTTTGGTGGCCCGCCGGTCAGCTGTTCCTGTGATCCGTCGGACTGCCGCTCCCGCGCAGCCTGCTGTTTCAGTCAGCCTGTTGGCCAGCTTTTTCTTGCCACAGAACTGGAATTTCAGAACCTGTCTAACTCTCTGGGCGTATTTGGTTGCCATTCTCATTGCCTCTTCCTCATGGTTGCTTTTTGTTTGTGTTACCCCCAGGTACTTGTAACTGTTCTCTACAACTCCTATTTGACCTTCTGGTAGTTAACCTTCTTCTGTCCTGATCATATTAAGCCAAACAACATTCCAACGTCCTTGCTGTACATACTAGTTAGATGGATCAGTGAGTCAATGACCACAAAATAAACAAAGGCTGGAGTGTCTGCCAAAGGTAGGTGGGAAAACAACAATATAATATTTATTAAAACTTAACTTTTATTTATAACTTAAAAAAAAAAAAAAGACTAAACAACCACTGGTGAAAAAGAAAATAAAGAAAAAAAATATCCCAAAAAATTAAAGATCTAAAATAGCGGTATAATGAATATCGCCTAAATGAAAAGGTCTAACTATTTGCTCACTTACTACTAGCTCAGTCAGCAGGCAAATAGTTCTTCAAATTATTATTCACTTGCATGATAGAGAGTGATAGATAATTTGCAAATGTGCATCCTGCCAGTTGCATATGGCTCCAAATTGTATTAATAGGATTTTGATGCAAAAGCCCCAGCTTTAATCCAGACATATATATATTTGCTCAGGCCCACCGAATTATGACAGCTTTTGGCTATAATAAATAAGAATTGACAATGCTGTCGGAATTCAGTCATTTTCATTGGATTTTGTACATTCAGACAAAATCTGGTGTTTAATGAATAACCCCATCAGTTTTTAGTGAATTGCCCTCCAGTGAATAAACTTCTTTAACTCCAAAATTATAATTGATTAGTAACTATGTACTGCCTAAATATGCGCTGGAATTCTTACATGCAGACAGCTGTTAATTTTATTAATGACACGGAGGCTCCTATTATGCTATCTCTTTCTTACTTTATTCCTCAGCAGCAAAGAGAAATATAAAACTGAAAGAGAAAAAAATTAGATATGCAATAAAATAATAACAGGTACAACCAGATCTGCCTAGTAACAGGGCAGCCAATCAGTCTCTAGGAACAGTCCATAAATCTCTATCCTTGTACTTCCACTTCCTCTTTCTTTGCTGCTGTCCTCAGACCAGCTAAGTATAATTTTTCTCTCCTACTTGGTTTTTGATTGATGGGTTTCACTAAGGTTTTTTTTGCCTGTGTTATTTTATGTTATCGTTTTCTGTTTGCTTATTGTCTTTTATTGACAGGCTTTATGTTGATGTTCTTTTGATTTGTATACCTTTTTTGGTGGTACATATTGTTTGCCTCCCCTGCGTTTACCCGCCGCTTCCCCTGTCTGTCTGGCCGTCCCCCTTTCAGACAGGGTTCGCGGCTAGCAGGGGAGGTTTCATTCTGGAGCCCTCTGCTCCCCGGTCCCCTTTCCCTCGCGGCCGCGTGTGCGGCCGCGCTTATCTGCCGACCCGATCTCCCGCTAGTGCGAGGAGTGCCGGCCGCGTGTGTGGTCGCGCTCCCCGTCCATTAGCGGGGGAGGAGCCTGGAAACGGCCGCGGCGCGTTCTGCGCGCGGCGGCCATCTTACCCTCGGTTTCCACGCGGCTGGGTCGGCTCCCTTTTACCTCCCATTACTGTGTGCAAGTATTTATATATAGTTCGTTTGTTCCTGGTGGGTTACTCAACCCTTTATACTGTGTAGGTTTATTTTCTGTCACCTGTTTTAGCTTATTTAGGTTTTACAGATTTGCTCTGCTCCTTGTCTCAGATATTTAAAGGGGCAGTACTTGCAGTTTCTATTTGACTCTGTTAATTATGCAGGCTAGGAGTGAGGGTTCTGGTAGTCCCAGTTACCCCATTATGGACTCCTCTCAGACCCCTATTACAGGGGGTATGGGCCTTACTCCCTCACAGGAGTTCCAGGCCCTTTTTGATTCCACCATGCAGAAGGCCCTGGCTTCAGCCATGGGGACAGTGTCCTCGTCCCTCTCTCACACTATTCAGCAAGCGCTGTCGCAACCTTTGGGCCCTGCCGTGTTGCCTGTTCCCCTGCCTGCGCTGCAGCCTCATATGGGTCGCAAGGCACAAACAAAATTTAAACATGTCTTTCCAGAGAGGACGCAGGTGACACCTGCCTTGACTGACGTGCCTATGGCCGTCCCAGATGGCGCGTTTCCGCGCAAGAGAGCCGCTGGCCGGGCAAAATCGGCCAGAAAATGGAAACGGGCACGTGCCCGAGATGATGATGGATCGGATACCGATCAAACTGGAGAGTCAGACTCGGATCCCCCTGATTACGCCTCCTATGAGGAAGGGGTTTCCGGCGATGAGGCGGAGTTTGACGCTTCGGCGCTTCCGCCGGGTGAGGGGCAGGACATCTGTGATCCTCAGGGTTACCCCCTGTTCGATCCCGATGACCTTCGCCATCCCCGCTCGGCGGAATGGGACCCGCCCGCGCATATTGCCAATTATCTGGCGCTTCGTATGCGTACCCCCCTCTCCAAGGAGGGGCGCAGTAAACTGAGGGCCGAGTGCCCAAGGCCTTCGGTGCCTGATTCGGCGTGCAAGACGCCAGAGGTTGACCCCCAGATTTCTCAGTTCTTAACTAAGACGGGTTGGAAGCCCCGAAAAGGACTGGAATTTTCACTGCATAATTGCCAAGACAAGATCTTGGATACCCTGGGCCCCGCCGCCAAGCTTTACGAGCTTCTGGAAGCGGCTAAGGCTGGAACGAAGCCTATTGATTTTGATGAAGCGATTGGGTGGGTCCAGAGGTTGATTTGCCTTCTCGGCAACGCGAACACAGCCATGTCGGCTGAACGCCGCAAGGCGATTCTGCTCAAAATTGAGCCCAAGTTAGTTAACCTGGCAGTGAAGGAGCCTGGTGCTTCGGCCAAGGGTATGCTCTTCGGAGAATGTTTTGTTAAGGACTTAGGCTCCTTTGTCCGTACCTTTACCGCGCTAGATAAGGCGCAGTCCAACCTGAAGAGGGTGTTCGGCCCTAAGGTTTCCCATGGGGCCGGGAGGTATAGGAGCCGTCCGCCCGGCCGTGGAGCTCGAGGTCCCCCGAGGACTCACAGAGGTTCCTTTTCCGCCCCCCGGACCTACCAAGACTATAAGCCAACGCCCTTTTTTCCCTCACGGGGGAGACCATGGCAGAGTCGGGGAGGTCGTGGACAACCCTCATACAGACGCCCTTACGGTGAGTACACCAACACGTGTATCTTGCAGAACGAGTGTGGGGGGCAGATTGGCACTGTTTCTCGATGTGTGGGGTATGATCACCACGGATGTTTGGGTTCTCAGTGCGGTCAGAGGTTTCCGCCTGGATTTATTGTCTCCCCCTGTCCAGACGTTTCTCCCACAGGAGCTGAAACTACCGGCAGAGCAGGCCGGATTAATTACCGCAGAGATCGCGGAACTGTCTGCCAAACGGGCTATTCAAGAAATCCCCTACGGACACCCGGGATTTCTAAGCAACCTGTTTCTTGTCGCCAAGAAAGGCGGAGGCGTACGTCCAGTGATAAACCTCAAACACCTCAATTCTTTCCTACGTTACCATCACTTCAAGATGGAGGGCGCTCATTGTCTCAGGGACCTGCTCCGTCAGGGAGACTGGATGGTCAAACTAGACCTCAAAGATGCCTACTTGACTATACCCATGGCGGAGGAGCATTGGGACTTATTGCATTTTACGTGGCAAGGTCGTCGATGGCGTTTTACATGTCTGCCGTTCGGTCTATCTTCAGCTCCGTGGTGCTTCACGAAAGTAATGAAGCCCGTGGTGGCCTTCCTCAGGGCACGAGGGGTCCGCATGATTATCTACCTGGACGACATACTGATTATGTCTTCATCCCCGAGCAACTTCTCAGGCACCTGAGATGGACGGTGAGTCTCCTGGAGAGACTAGGTTTCCTCGTCAACTGGGAAAAATCCATTGTGACCCCGGTACAAAGGATAGAGTTCCTGGGCTTCGAGGTCGATTCAGTCACCCAGTGTCTGTTCCTCCCGGAGGCAAAACTCCGATCGATGAAAAAGGAGATACGACGGGCGCTGCGAGCCACCTCTCTCTCCGTCCGGCAATTGGCGAGGGTGATCGGCCTGTTGGCCTCATCGATTCAGGCAATTTTTCCGGGCCCACTGCATTATCAAGCACTCCAACGTTTGAAAGGGTCCCATCTTCGCTCAGGGGGCTCGTACGAGAGCGTGTTGACCCTGGACAGGGACTCCAGAGACGAACTAAGGTGGTGGCTGGACCACATGGAGGCCTGGAACGGCCGGGCGATCTTCGGCTCCGCGCCGGATGTGATAATAGAGTCAGACGCAAGCCTGCATGGCTGGGGCGCTCGCTGTGGCGGTGTCTCCACCGGTGGAAGATGGTCAGAGACCGAATCGGCTCTGCACATAAACTGCCTGGAACTTCTGGCGGGTTCGTTTGCCATTCGAAGTCTATCTCCGACGCAGGGAAATTGCTGCGTCTTCCTACGTATGGACAATGTGTCCGCTGTCAGGTACATAAACCATCTCGGGGGGACAAAATCGAAGCAGTTGGCGAACTTGGCAAAGGATTTCTGGCGGTATTGCCTACACAATGCCGTATCGGTTACGGCCGAGCACATTCCGGGTCTGGACAACGAGTGGGCGGATTGGAACTCGCGCTACCTGAAGGATTCAGGAGACTGGCACTTGCTGTCCTCAACATTTCAAAGGATAGAACGGTTGTGGGGTCCACTTCACCTGGATTTGTTCGCGTCCAGATTGAACACCCAACTACCCCAGTACTTCAGTTGGAGACCGGACCCAGCGGCCACGGCAGTGGACGCGTTCTTGCAGACGTGGCCGCCGGGACGCCATTATGCGTTCCCACCGTTCAACCTGATATCCTGGACACTGGCGTACTCGGCCGGACAGAATTGCACGATAGTGATGGTAGCTCAGCTCTGGCACTCTCAACCGTGGTTTCCCCGCCTTCTGGAGATGGCCATAGATTTCCCACGGATAATCGAAATGAGGCCGGATGTGCTTCTGGATCCGGATGGGAAATTGCACGAATTGGTGGATCAGAACTTACTTCAACTCACGGCTTGGCTAATCTCGGGAGACCCTGGTGTGTCACGGACGTTTCGCAGACAACTGCTCGACTATTGGAGAATGCCTGGGCACCAGGTACCAGAGCGGCTTACAGGACCGCATGGCGCGTGTGGTCTGGCTGGTGCTTGGGAAGATTGCTGGATCCACTTTCTGCCCCTCTAAATGCGCTGCTTGGTTTCCTGACGGAACGTTTCGATTCTGGTTTGGCTTATCGTACCCTTAATGTTTATAGATCAGCCATTTCGGCCGGACATCAAGGGATAGACGGATCTCCGATTGGACAACATCCTATCGTGTGCCGCTTGTTGAAAGGTATCCGTTTTGCTAGACCGCCAAGATCTAGATACTCATCGTTTTGGGACGTTAACGTCGTCCTTGGATTCTTGGACTCCTGGCCCTGTAATGAGGACTTGACACTCAAACAGTTATCATGGAAACTGGTCATGCTTCTGTGTCTACTTTCGTGTAAAAGGGTGTTGGACGTCAGGGCTCTGGACTGGAACGCGGTCTCGTTCACCCCCGGAGGTGTGTCGTTTAATATCTCGAGGAGGACTAAGTCGGCTTCCAAGTCGGTGGACTACCCTAGATGCTCCATCAGACCTGCTTTGTGTCCTGTGGCTTGTCTCCAGGCTTATTTGGATCGTACCCGGCTGCTGAGGTCAACTGACTTGCCTCCACTCTTTATCTCCTTGAAAGCACCGTTTCTACCGGTCTCGTCGCCGACGCTTGCCCGCTGGGTTAAAGACCTCCTCTCGGCTGCGGGTATCAATACTTCGATTTTTTTCAGCTCATTCAGTTAGGGGTGCCATGGCATCAAAGGCTTCTACGATAGGATGTCGCCTGGACGATATCTTGAAAGCGGCAGATTGGTCTAAGGAATCTACGTTCCGTGATTTTTATTTCCGCCCGATTGAACATGTTTCTTCATTGGTTGTGGCTCAGCTTTAAACTAGCATAATAGGAGCCTCCGTGTCATTAATAAAATTCCCAGATTTTACTATTAACATGACGTAAAGTCATGATTTTATTAATGACACGGAGGCGAGTATTATTCCCACCCACCCTCCCGTGGGTCTGGGTCTGGTTTTTCGCTTTGGGTTCAATCGGGGGGTTTGTCTTATCTCACGGTAAGTGCACATGTGTTACTTGTATTGAACATATGGTGTTTTAGAGTGTGACATATGTACATGGATTTGAGTATGATGCTCTCTATTTGCAGGTCACGTATATTCGATATGTTGCACTCAGTTCCTAAGTTTGGAGTTTACCACATATTTCTTTGTTTTACGGCTTGATTCCGGTCTGTGGATGTCTACCGGTTTGACGTTTCTTAGTTACTGCTTGGATATTTTGCTTTGGGTCTTCGGTTCAGAAGGCAAAGAAGAGGAAGTGGAAGTACAAGGATAGAGATTTATGGACTGTTCCTTGAGACTGATTGGCTGCCCTGTTACTAGGCAGATCTGGTTGTACCTGTTATTATTTTATTGCATATCTACATTTTTTTTCTCTTTCAGTTTTATATTTCTCTTTGCTGCTGAGGAATAAAGTAAGAAAGAGATAGCATAATACTCGCCTCCGTGTCATTAATAAAATCATGACTTTACGTCATGTTAATAGTAAAATCTGGGAATTATGTACTAATTAATTAATTTTCATTTTTTCTTTTTGATTTTAGATAACCAACACAAGTGATCAAACATTGTTAATCATTTGTATACCTATTTAGCACAGCAATATGGCTTGATAATTGTTGCACAAAGAATTTAATTAACTCATTCACAAGTTTAAAGAAAATAGAACATTCATTTGAAACAATGTGCAGTGTGCATCATTATATTACAAAGCACCATATTAACGCACAGTATATATTATCGTGTTACAAAGCCCCACTGTTAAAGTGGCTCTATTCATATTTTGGCTCCGGCATCACTGTGGGGGGGTGGTGGTGGGGGGGTTCCTGAGGTGGCTAGCCGGCCAGCCCCAAGGCCCCCCCTTAAAGTGCCACCCAAGGCAAATGCCTTGTCTGCCTCGCACTAAATACAGCACTGCTAACAAGGAAAGGTAAGGTTAGTTGTTGGCTAAATGTGTGCAAAAAATTAGCATTAGGTATCATTCAGACACAGCTTGCAAAGAATCATAGGAGGTGTAGTTCTACAACATCTGGGGATCTACCTTTTGTTCACCCCCACTATAGGCAATCAGTAGCATGTGATAGAAAGCTGAAAGGGAATGCTTAGCAGCTTCCATCAGCTCTCCTGAGGTAAGCCCTATAGTACAGGGCTAGCTAATTTACTGAGAGAGTAAGCTGATGCTCTCAGCTAACCCCTGCACTGCCCACAGACTATGGGCCCTGCAGGGAAACCGGTAAAAGACTACCGAACTTGACCGACTGTTAGCACTGATTTCCCTGGAACTGTTTTGGGCATAGTACCATGTGCACAGTCGGTCAAAACTATGACTTTCAGATAATTCCTGAACCCCTGAACCAATCTGCGTGATTTTTGGGATATGTTGTTCACCCAGATCGGGGTTATCAAGGGATGTAACTTTTATGGGGCTTTATGTGTTTTTAAGGTACTTTTTGGGGTTTCATAAAATTGTATGTTTTTCTGTGCTTGGAGATAATTGGGTTAGATTAGTACAGTTTCTGGTTCAATCATATGCCAAGCACAGATGAGGGATTCTATTGTTTGTGTATGGGAGTGTCTCACTGTATGACTCTCTCTTTATTTGTGTCCCTGTACCCTTGTTGGGAAACTAGCATAAAAGGCCTCCATTAAAATTCTGTTCCTGCTTACCCTCAACATAGAGTCTCATCTCATGTGTTGGGGAAACGGCTGCATCTAGCCTGGGGATTGATATATCACTATACTCCCCAGGAATTATAACCACTAGCTCTTATAAGAGCTATTCCTGTTCCTGCTATGCTCTCTGTGAGTAGGATAGGTCTGCCCACTGGAAGCTGGATCCTGGTCTTGGGTCCAGGGTGGGTGGAGGACGGCGAGTTGCCAGCCAAGCTGTAACGCTGGATGTGGGGACTGTAGAGCTGATGGTGTCGGGTGGAGTGCTTGGAGCCCTCGGTAAGCACTAGGAGGATCGACTGACGGAGGTACCCGGTCGGGATGCCAAGCAGTCCGTCATAGTAACTTTCTCCTATTATTTCCTCTTGTCTTCCTCTTTCCCTATCTGTTCTTCTTTTCTTCATTTCTGCTCTATTTCTCTTTCAAGGGACACTATAGTCACCAGAACAACTACCGCTTACTGTAGTTGTTCTGGTGTCTGAATCTTGTCCCTGCTGGCCTTTTAATGTAAACACTGCCTTTTCAGAGAACACCTTTAGTGACACTATTTTGTATGTTTTAAGGAAAGCTCCACTTTGTCAAGCTAACTTTCCCATAATACACACGTCTATCCTGTCCTTCATCCCTTGCCTCTTAAGGTTTTCCAGTGCTGCGCATGGCTGCACATGCTCTATCTGTCTATCTATCTATCTATCTATCTTTCTGTATGTCTGTCTGCCTGTCTCTCTGTCTGCCCTATCCATCTGTATGTCTGACACTTTCTCTCGCTATCTGTCTGTCTGTCTGCCCTATCTATCTGTGTGTCTGTTTGTCTGTCCTATTAACACTTAGGCTATAGGAAGGCTGAGGATGTAAACTTACTTAAAACATATGGCAAGATTCCTGAATTTCTGTATGTTTTATTGCTCTACTCTAGTCACTGATTAATTTAAATTATGTTATAAAACCAGGTAATGGCAGAATGCATGTGCACTAAATCCTTTAATCTCAGAAAAAGTATGCATTTATTTGCAGTGCTGGTTAGAGCCAGGATTTTTGAAGATGTGGTGCTGCATCCTGCTCTGTGATAGTCATCAACAGAAAAGTGCTTTCTCTATTAAAAGAAATTCAGCAAAACCAGCCATGGAAAAGGGGCTAAAAGCATTTCCTGAAGTAACAGACTCTCAGTGAGTGTAAGATTTAGCTGCCAAACGCATTCCTATGCATAACCTCAAAGTAAACTTACAAGCAGTGGTGTATTCTGGTTTTGTGCTGCCCTAGGCATGACAAAACTCGGGCACCCACCCTCTTCCAAATTTCTCTTCCAGACAGACACACACCCTCACTAATGCATGCACTTGCATGCACTCACTTACAGATACACAGTCATTGTCACACACACTTTCACTGAAATGTACACATTCACACTCACTCATTCACAGTTACTCACAGACACACACACACACTCACATTCACCAACAGACACACATATACACTGACAGACATGCATTCACCGCCCCATACACTCACTGACAGACGCACACTCACTCACTCAGTGTCAGACACACACACCGAGACACACATACAATCACTGACAGATACACACATACACACTCACTGACAGACATATATAGACTCAGTGTCAGACATACACATTCACTGACAGACACACATTCACTGACAGACTTGCACATTCACTGACAAACACACTGATACTTTAAAAAGTCCCTCAAAACCCATCTTTTCAGGATTGCTTATGGCCTCCAAGAGTAACTGCTTTCTCTCAAACCTTCCTCTCGCTCTCTCCTGTAGGGCCACACTCCACTCTCAATTCCAATTCTGCTACTCTCCCACCATGTCTATTTACTGTCTATTTCAATACCCTTCCTATTGTGTTTTTAAACCCCACCTCCTCTAGACTGTAAGCTCGTTTGAGCAGGCTCCTCAACTACCTATTGTTCCTGTTACATTTTGTTATTGTCTCATTTGGTAAATTCCAGTTTAATTGTAAAACACTGCGGAATAAGCTGGCGCTATATAAATAGCAATAATAATAATAATGCGCACACTGACACACACACTCTCAGTGACACATAAACACTCACTGACAAACACATATACACACTCGGAACAAAGATATGGTGATTGTGCACACAGTAGATGATATTTTCGTATTAAGTGGATAATCCCTAGGTTCTGTAAGTATAAAAAACCACGTAGGGTAATATATCTTAACACAGATAATAATAAAAATACTTGGAAAAACTCACAATATTTAGAGCCTTTCTGAGTTGGCTCTAAACTATAGTAGCAGGTACATCAATCAGATGTGGGTGTAAGGATTCAGATCCCTCAGAAGGTATCAAATGCCTTCTGTGTTGAAAATCAGGAACCAGGTCACCAAAGTAAATAAAGATAAGTATATTTATTTAAACATTATAAAATAAAGTAGAAAAAAAGCACAACGCGTTTCGACCCAATGCAATGGGTCTTCCTCAGGTGCATATCTTATAGCATGTACAACAACATTCTTATATAGCATCAATACCTAATACAAATAAATCACAAACATTAACAGCTGTGTGTTGATAGTCTGTCCCCTTCACCATATAAGGCATATTTCCGGCTGTAATTTTGGTGTTCTCGCCTCTATCCGGCTCCGGCATCACTGTGGTGCGCAAGAGAGAGCTGAGCAGGGGAGAGCTCAGGAGAGATGCCTGCCTCAGCAGATGGCAGCACCTTGGAGGTGTGGGGGGCCTTGAGGTGGCTTGCCAGCCAGCTCCTGGGCCCCCCAGGACAAGAGGCTGGCATGGCATCTGCCAGGGTGATTGGGGCGGCTTATTTTGCCGCCCGCCCTGACAGTGCCGCCCAAGGCAAATGCCTTGTCTGCCTCGTGCTAAATACAGTGCTGCTAACAAGGAAAGGTGAAGTTAGTTGTTGGCTAAATGTGTGAAAAAAAATTGCATTAGGTATCATTCAGACAAAGCTGCAAAATGAGGGAACTGGCACCTTCTCCTTTTCATAGAGATCAGTGATAAATGACTTACGTCACAAAACGCATGCATTTTCAGTTGCTACATTCAATGATCTTGCCTGTTTATCATTGTAATATGTATCCATACCATCAATAACTGTTAATATCTATTGTCAGATCATGA